TTTCAGTTACTGTTGTTGATATGTTAACAATTAGAATAAGTTCAAATTCTCTTAAAAATAATAACATCAATATGTTTTGTTAAGAACACTTACTGGACTTGTGGAAGTATTTTGAGAACTGTGAGGGGCCCTTACAAACATTTGAAAGAAACAAATCTTTAATCATAGATGGAGACTTATGCAAAAATACTAATGAGGTTTTAAATTTGATTTCTGTCATGGTGGGCTGTGGCAGGCAGGTTGTAGGACCCAAACAAACATGACTCGTACGCGGAATGAAACTTAAAGCGGCAGCTTTTATTGCTGGAAAAACATTTCATAAGAAATAAACTTCACAAAATACAAACCAAAACATCAAAACTGAAAACTAGAAACTAAACTGGACTCAAGAAACTAAAAACTAAGAAACAACAACTAGGAAAACAAATCGAGAACTATGAACTAGAATTAAGTCAGGAACACGAAGGGAGAAAACACCCAGCCCACCGAGAACTAAAGAAACCCCCAAAACATGAACAACAATAATCAAGAAACTTATTTACATTGACTGGAACACCAATACTGGGTCGCAGATAGTTTCAGTTTCTCTGTCAGTCAGTTTCATTTGGTCTGACACAACAACATCACAGATGTTTAAGTCTTTGGAAGAAGCCCTTTTTCTTATTTTTCTTCTTGATCTCAAGGTGTTACGACTTCAGACTGGATTCAGTTTCAGCAAAAGGTTCCTCACAGGGAACATCAGGCACTGGGACAATTTCCGAAAGAGATTCTTCAGCTGGTGGAACATTGGTCATTGACAGACTGTCAGAAGGACATTCTTCATTTGATTACTGAAGGAGGTTCTTTGACTTGTGTAACATTAGGCACTGATAGATTTTCAAATGGAGATCCTTCACTGGGAAGACTATCGGACATTCTCAGACTTTCAAATGGAAGTTCTTCATTTGGAAAAACATCCAGAAGACTTGAATGGGGGTCGAAGATTTTGGATATGTGGATCTTGGCTACATCGGCAATCATCTTCAGCAACACCGGTGCAAAGTTTGCTATGTTTTTAAATAGAATTTCTGTCTGATCTCCGTCAGGATACTCTGGACCATATCGTCTCGGATGGGTGAAGATGGCCTGGCCTTCCATCACTGTGAGATTTTTGGAGACATGATCCAAAGTGGCCTTTGTGGCACTTGTGGAGAGTATGCTTAAACTCTGGGAGGCCATGTTTAAGAGGGGACGAGGAGAAAGCTCCCAGAAAGATGCGGGGACCGACCTCTATCACCACCTCCTGTGCGGTGGGAAGTCTGGTGCTTTGTGGTTCCTGCTGCCTGTCTTTCAGGATTTGAATGTAATCCTTCACCGCGCTGAGGAGTTTAGGTGTCCTTTAGAATAACATTGTAAAAATGATTTTTTAAACATATTTGAAGCATCACATAAATATTGAAACACTGTAGCTGGACTGTTAATAACTGTATGTCAGATGTGACTCACTGAAATTTAGGAGGTATGGCCTCTGGAATTTTAAGGAACATTCTGACTTGAAACTCAGTGTCCCTCATTTTGATAAAGACATTCACTGCCCATACCCGAAACAGAAAACACATTTACAGTGCAGTTTTGTTTAGAGGTTATGTGAACATAATGAAAAAAGAAATCTCCAAATTACTTCAAGTCTTGTGAGTTTTCTAGTCTTACCAGATTCAGAAGAGGTTTGGTTTCCTCTTCTTCAAAATCTTCTCATTCAAACTCCCAAAGTCTTCAAAAGAAAAACAAACAAACAGAGGTTTTCTCTCAGTATTTACACTTTATCACAAACAGACTTCAGGTGTCACAGTAACTCACTGCTCTTTGAGTGTCTCCTTGCTTTTCTCCACCAAAAGATCTCTCAGATCTTCGGCAGTGATGTTTGGTGGAATTAGATTTTCCTGCTGAAGTCTGAGAAACTCCATCATCATTGCAATCCTAAAATAAAAGGAGACATTTAATCACCACCACTCTCAGGTCCTCAGAAATTACCTGATATTTTCTGTCAGTTTTGGTTTGCATGGATCTGGGTCTTACCTGAGCCCTGTAGCCAGGAAGATGGCAGTAGATCTTTACAGCTGTGTCATAAATGGGTGTGTTGAACAACACCTGTCAAAGAAATAGCAAATTACTCATTGTTACTTAAAATGATTCTCAATTTGTCAACTTTTAAAAATACATCAAATTCTTTAAATGGTTGAAATGCAGTATAAACAAAAACTGTCACATACCCTGATGGGTTTGTAGATTCCTCGACTTGCTTCCATTTAGATGTTATAGTCGTATTGCAGTCGGGAACAAAAACTGTCAAATACTCTCCAACGATGGCGTAAGTTAAGATCTTGATCTGAAAATGCTCTGAACACACCTCTGGTTTTGCTTGCACAGATGAGCTGTTCTTATCTTGTCTTTAAGTCTGACGTCATTAGCCGTGTCTGAGTCCAAACTCTGCTAAGTCAAAGATCACTGCATTACTGAGAGTTGATAAACTGTCTAAATTCTTTCTTCTGTAATAAAATGATCAATGTGGCTGCTCTACCAGATGTAACAATTAGGTTTAACATCCAGGCATCTAAGAAAACAGACTTTATGCAATTTAACAGAGTTAGAAGTTAGCAGGGAGTTAGCTTGCTAGCTTCCATCTAAATATAATATATTTTGTTCTGAATGAGGAATTTCTGAAAAAAAATTATATGTACAGCTCTGATTTCACTTCAGACATAAAAGAAGACAGAAAACTAAACAGCAGTGACGTTTTGTAGGGTTACTGAAGTTTGGCTGGCTGATATATGATGTGCTACGTGGTGGCTAGCGACACAGCTATGTTAGCATAATATAAACACAGTGAAGCTGGACGATGAACGCTAACCTTTTTCCACTAGATAAAAGTTAACGTGAGGGTTCCCAGTGGTTAGGGATAAATACAAGAGAGGGCTGTAGTTACATCATAAGGTTTTAAAAACTGAGCTTTAAAATGAATAGCAGTAATAAAAACTGAGTAGGCCGACAGTGATTTTGTTGTTTTTAGGGGCTTGTTGAGATTAAATAGAACAAGATACAAAGCATTAAAACATGCTAAAAACACAACAGCCTTAATAAACGCAGAGTAGTTTGGGCCTGGAAGCAGGATTCATCACGTCATTGCTTAAAGACCAGATAGTCTGATGCTGATTTAAGAATGTAGAATTCTAGAAAGGTCACCATGGAAACTCTTGATGTGAGTTTCGTGTTATTCAATGAAAAGAAAACACTTTATGTAAGTCCCACGTTATTAAAAGTTACCCCAAACAGTCTACAAAGGTTGTTTTCTGTCCACCAAAGCAAATATGATTGAAGAGATTTTTGTAACTTCACTTCTCCAAAAAGCAAATAAATCAGTCAGTCAGCACGCACAGTCTGTATAATATATGAATAATAATAAATATGACTTTTCCTCTCTTTTCCATAAAAAGTTCCCAGTAGGGTTTTTGACCTTTGGCACCATGGAGCTGTGGGCTTTAAAAAAAAGTCTTACACACTGTACCCTGTAATTACTGTACTTCTAATTTCTGAAAAAACACTCTAAAGCATCTTCTAAAACTTCAAAATCTATTTGGGCGATTTGGAAACAACAACAATTAACTGAAGTATAAAAGTATGGGCTCCAAGGTTCACGTTGGGGACTATGGGGTCAGGAGAAAATTAGATTTAGTTGCTTTCTGTGGCAAATTAATTATTTTTCACCAGAAATAACAAATATTTCCATAATTAACACACTTCATATTGTGTGACGGCTACAGTCAGATATCTGCAGGGATGTCTCACGTGCTCACTGCAGTTAAAGTAGTGTTACTAAAAATATTAAGACACAAATGGCAGTAATACTTTTTAAAAGGCCTAATGACTAAAACCAGGTAACTTAGTTACACCTGCTCAACTGCTCATTAAGAGAAATATCTAATCAGCCAGTCACATGGATGCAAATCGGTGTATTTACAGTAGGCATGCAGACATAGTCATGATGACCCTCCGAAGGTCAAACTTAGCATCAGAATGGGGCGAAGAAAAGGTGATTGAAGTGACTTTGAACGTGGCATGGCTGCGGGTGCGAAATGGTTTGATCTGAGTATTTCAGAAGCTGCTGATCTACTGGGTGGGATTTTCCCACACAACCATCTCTGGAGGTGAAGGACAA